TTTACTTTTGTGCTACTTCCATTTCGTCTACTCTCAGAATGGACAATATTCCCATTTTGCCTACTCCCATTTCGCCTACTTTCTTTTTCACCTACTTCCATTTCGTCTACTCTCAGAATGGACAATATTCCCATTTTGCCTACTCCCATTTCGCCTACTTTCTTTTTCACCTACTTCCATTTCGTCTACTCTCAGAATGGACAATATTCCCATTTTGCCTACTCCCATTTCGCCTACTTTCCTTTTCACCTACTTCCATTTCGTATACTCTCAGAATGGGTAATAGTGCCATTTCGTCGTAGTATTGATATTACAATAAATATCAGGAGAAATTAATGTGGATGCCACTCCATCTAGTCTATGTATGGTAATCAAAATCATATAATTATTACATTTATAAATGATTATTTAGTGGACAAACCGATGGTAGACAAAATGGGAATGGGGTGGATTTTTAGTGTAGACGAATTGGGAGTAGGCGAAATGGGTGTAGACCAATTGGGTGTTTTGCTATAGACGTAACGGGAATTCCGCCGTAGGCGAAATTGGAGTAGGCAAACCGTGTAGCCAGCGAGTGTTCATCAACCAAATACACTATAACATTTACACATAATAATACACAACCTATTACATAACAAGAGCAATCGGAGATAGCAAACCTCTGCCTCCGCTTAACAGTCCCCCCATATATCTATATATAGCTATCGATGTAATTTGTAGTCGGGTTTAACGCGGCGGTGACACATCATAAACCCCTACAGAGAGAGAGAAAGCGAAAGCGAAACTAAGTTAAGCGGTTAGAGAGTAAACCGCTACACTAGCATCAATGATGAGACTCCTTCAAAAAATTCATGATCTGGATCTGGATCACCACCAAAATCTACTCGATTGGTTCCTTGCCCAAGACCAACCCGTCCAAAAAATATTATCAAAATCCGTCCGTAACGTTTTGAGATATCCTGTTGACAGACAAACTAACCAACAAAGTAACGGGGGCAAAAACATAACCTGGTTTGCGGATTATAATAACATAATGGCTGAAGCTGCAACCTTGACACAAACATGCCAGCACGCTCATTTAGCTTAATTAATCATAATTACGTAAAGCTACAATCAGTCAACTCTCCTCTGTCTCGTGAAATGCTCCATTGTTTGCGCTTAATGTGTTCTATTGTTTTATGATAATCGTTCCATTGTTGTTTCGGCGTGGGCGTTCTATCGGTGGAATAACGACAATAATGACAGTAATGAGCGTATTGTTCATTAAGCTGGTACTGCAGCTGCCGCGTAATGCGTGAAGCTTGCCCAGTGAGCGTGACATCGGCAACGTCGTCACTGCCTATTAATGCTGCCGTGCTGTCGTGCTGTCGTGTTGTCGTGCTGTCGTTACATGGCAACGACGATGTGGGACAGAATGTTTCATCTTCGTATCTCTTTCTCGGTATTTCTCTCTCGCGCATGCGCTTTCTCTCTCTCTCTCTCTCTTCTCTCCTCTCTCTCTCTTTTTCTCCTTCTCTCGTTCTTCTCTCATACTCTCTCTCTCGTCTCTCTCTCCTACTATATATAATATATAGTATTTATTCTATAGTATAATCCTATCACCTCACAACTATACTCACTATATATATATAGTATATGCTGAAACAGATGATTTTAACACTCTCCTTTATTGTTTGTACAGAGATCCGAGACCCTGGAATACAGCGACAAACTCTTGTTTCAATCACTGTATACAAATTCTGACGCACCTGTCACTGCTGTGCGTGCTGTCACTGCTGTCGTGCCTGTCACCTGATGTCGTGCTGTCACTTGACTGTCCCTTGATGCTCTTTAGCTGTCACTTGCTGCCTCACTGATGTCGTGCTGTCACTGCTGTCGTGCTGGCTCGTGTTGTCATTGCTGTCATGCTGTCATGGCTGTTCACTGCTGGTCATTGCTGTCATTGCGCTTGTCATGTCTTGGTCGTCACGCCTCTCTCTGATCCTCACCTGTCATGTTGTCGTAGTTGGTTCGTGCTGTCATGCTGTCATGCTGTTCATGTTGCTCGTGTTGCTCGTGCTGTCATGTTGGTCGTGCTGATTCACTTCTGTCGTGTTGTCACTGCTGTGCGTGCATCGGTCGTCGCTGTCACCTGTTGCTGTCCTATCGCTGTCGCTGCATGTCACGGCCTGTCATAATTTGCGTGTGATGCTCGTGTGTCACTCTGTCATGATTCTAGTGTCTGGTTGTCGCTAGCTGCTCGCTGCTGTTCGTGCTGATCGTGCTGGTCGTATGTCACTGCCTGTCATGCTGTCTGATGCTCGTAGTTGTTCGGTGCTGTCACTGCTCGGTCGATGCTCGTCACTGCTGTCATGCCTCGTCACTTGCCTGTCATGCTGTCACTGCTGCTCACTGCTAGCTCACTGCTGTCATGCTGTCAGTGTTGTCTGCTGCTCATGCTGTCCATGCTGCTCCCACTGCTTAGTCATGCTGTCATAGCTGTCATTGTTTGTCGTGTTGTCGTGCTGTCCTGTGTGCTCTGTGTCATGTGCCGGTAGTCTTCGTGCTGTCCATGTCGTCCGCTGTTGTTGGCTGCGCATCTGTTCGCTCACGCTCCGCTCGTATGGCCGTCCGCTCTCCACTCGTTCACTCCCGCTGCTCCCACCTCGATGTCGCTCGGCTCGCTCCTGGGGCTCCATCGCCACCTGCTCCACATGCTTCACTGCTGTCGTGGTTGTGCGTGCTGTCATGCTGTCATGCGTCACTGACTGTCATGCTGTCGATAGCTAGTCATGTTGTCGTGCTGTCATGCTGTCGTGTTGTCGTGCTGTCATGTTGTCGTGCTGTCGTGCTGTCACTTCTGTCGTGTTGTCACTGCTGTCATGCTGTCACTGCTGTCATGCTGTCATGCTGTCACTGCTGTTATGCTGTCGTGCTGTCACTGCTGTTATAATGTCGTGATGTCGTGTTGTCATGCTGTCATGCTGTCACTGCTGTCATTCTGTCATGCTGTCGTGCTGTCACTGCTGTCATGCTGTCATGCTGTCGTGTTGTCGTGCTGGCATGTTGTCGTGCTGTCACTGCTGTCGTGCTGTCATGTTGTCGTGCTGTCGTGCTGTCATGTTGTCGTGCTGTCGTGCTGTCGTGCTGTCACTGATGTCATGCTGTTATGCTGTCATGATGTCGTGCTGTCGTGATGTCACTGCTGTCACTGCGGTCACGCTGTCGTGCTGTCACTGCTGTCATGCTGTCGTGCTGTCGTGATGTCGTGTTATCATGCTGTCACTGTACAAACACAGTTTTTTGTCTTGTTTCAAGTACTGTACACAATTCTGACGCCCCTGTGAACCATCCTGGCTCATATCCGTGTTGTCGGAAACGGTGAAATACTTGCAATTCATTTAATCACGAATAAATCTTGTGATTCAAGCGCCTCGGGGCAAAATTATAGTGTGAGATTCCTTTACATGCGTGTCTATGCGAACCTCATTTACGTACGCATTTACATACTACTGCGAAAATTTACCAAATTGGCGAAACAAAACGCCGTCTTGCGGATAGATTTGTTGAACACCTAAGGTGTATTCGTCTCAATGTGCATGGTTTTCCGGTTGCTGACCACTAAATCCAACCGGGTCACTCTGTATTGATGACGTGCGTGTTTGTGGCTCACCGCATTGATGACGTGCGTGTTTGTGGTTCACCACATTGATGACGTGCGTGTTTGTGGTTCACCATATTGATGACGTACGTGTTTGTGGCTCAGCGCATTGATGACGTGCGTGTTTGTGGCTCACCACATTGATGACGTGCGTGTTTGTGGCTGCCAACTGAGAACGTATTATAACAGCTCACGTCGACAGATGACTGAACAGAAATTAATTCTGAGGAGTCAATGGTTTTTTTTAAGCCAGGGGGTATGAATGTAAACTTCAATTGTGTGATTTGTAGAAGCCATTGTATCACGGAGTTATTTGTGATAAAATTGCAAGTACTGTATCGTTGTGTTGTGTGTGTGTGTGTGTGTGTGTGTGTGTGTGTGTGTGTGTTGTGTGTGTGTGTGTGTGTGTGTGT